CATTTCTCTGTGTGCTCAAGCAAATCACCATCACACGAATCATCACTACAGTTGTGTAATTTCTGTTGTCATTGTCTGCATTATTGGGAGGAAAGCCAACTACTGAGGTGGGGGATAGAAGTTCTTGCAGTAGCTTTGAGGATGTTTCCAGCTGCCTTTCCTTGAGTGCCCAAAAACTCAGTTGCTAAAAAAAGATCCAACAGAACAGGACACAAAACGCACCACAGACCATTTATCTGCAACAGGAGGTAGGGGAGCACAAGGGACAAACTACGTTTTTGGTCTTTTATTTCCTACATGACACTTGAGAGTTCTTGTTCTGTGGCTGATTGGGCTATTTAAAGCTGCCTTTGAACACATCTTACTTTAGAAATAAAGGGCTCCTTCTGAGGAACTGTTCTGTTTTATAACTGCATGTCTGTGCAGTGACTAGGAGACCCTATGCACTAATATTTAAACACTAATAAACTTAATCAACTAATAAAATATATAAATTAATCCTCTCATCTAGTTGATCTAGATTACAATCAAGTGCAGCATACTACTCCTGCTGCTGTTCATACCTGTTGTAGCCAGGAGCTTTTGTGGTCTGACTCTGCTCTCCCAGTACCTCTGTCTTAAAAACTGAGTTTTATCTGCTTAAACTAGCTTACAAGGCATTGAGAACGGGCCCTGTACAAATCTCTTTTATTGTCACTCATCTGCATGTTTTCCAAGGAATCCATTACTTCTTGATTTGCAGGTCTCTACAAATTAACTTCATCATAAATACTGAAAGTACTGCATTGCTTGTAGTTTTTCTCTTGCCCCATCTGGCAGGGCCTGATGCTGTTCTGCCAGGTAACTTTCAGGATGTACATGTCAACAACACTTTAGGGGAAAACAAGCAAGCATAAAAGGATTGAATTAAAAATATTGATCTGCAGTCTTTGGCCGTTGCTGTATAAAATCCCACCCTGCTGATTCACAACAGGTTCAGGAGGCTCAGGGGAACTGGGCACCAATTTTGGCCACACAGTCTCAGCTGATGATATTTGCTTTTAAGAAGTTCTGCCCTTCAGGCATGCTTTAATGTCCTGCAGCTGCAACGTGCACACATAGATGCTTACTTCAATGTCATATCAGGAAAAATCGTTTTGTTTCAACTTCAGGAGAAGGGAGGCAGAAGGAGAAGGAAATCTGGTTGGAAAATGCAGGCTGCGGGCATTCCCTTTCACGATTTTGGTGTCTTTAGTTCAGTGTTTTATACTTGGCAACTGTTGGATGCACCAAAGGGAGCACACCTGCAGCTGCTGCTCTGTCAAAAACCGTATTATCCTCCTGATGGGGCATAAGATTAGTTATTCCTCTGTTTCTTTCCTTTCACTTGTAAACCTTTCATGGTTTAAATCAACCTGGTTACTTGAAAGATCAAAAAGCACAAAATGATTAATAAGTAAGGCTCAAATCAGCCACTAAATGTAGGTATTTACTGCCACCAAGATGCTCTACGATAATCTCACCTGTCCTCTCCTGCTGGCCCAGGGGAATACGAAAGTTCAGCAGGTCCTGGGTCATTTTTTTGGCAGCACAGTGTGGCTGTTCAGGGCATCCCAACTGGCACTGGATGCAAAACAATAAACTTAATCTAAAATCTAATCGTTTAATTTTACAAAAGTCCTTTGAATGATGTCTGATTATATTTTAGTATTTAGCTGGTACTTGGCTTCTACTTTGCTGTCTCCATTTCAGACCTGAGGACGGGTTTGTGTGCCCATGAAAGGCCCATTTTCCCCAACAATATCTAAAGGATTATACATGCTTTCTCTACTTTACCTTTTTTTTTTTTTTTTTTTTTTTTTTTTTTTTTTCCTGCAACAGCAGTGCAATGTCATTTTGTGACAATTCTTTCCAGCAGAAATTGATCTCTACCTGCTTCTGGTAAGAGGGAAACTGGGGATGAAAAGGAAAAAAAAAAAAAAAAAAAAAAAAACAGGAACAAGGTTTCATGGGAAGACACAAGAGACAGTCGGAGGGGAGGCAGAGCAGGCTGTATGTGTGTTACGAGACATGGATCCGTGATAAACTCCTTATTAATTTTGATGGGGCAGCGGGGCCCCAACTGGGGCAGCCCAGCTGCCCCAGGGCTGGACCCACTGGAGGGGACAGCAGCCTTTTAAAAAAAGATTTCTCTCTCTCTCTTGTCTTTCCCCTCCACTGCTTCAAAGAAAAACGATTTGCTCATTTGGTAATAACTGATGGGGACTGTGAATTACCGAGCTAGCCCCCAGACTAGTGTTTATCTCCTGGCCAATAAATCTCTAAACTGAAGCAATGAAGCTAAGTACTACTGCTATTTCTGCGTTTTATTTCCATATTAATCAAAATGCGAGCCCACCCCCACCTCCTCCCGGGCCCCTGTTTGGCAGGGGAAAAGGCATCCCTTAGGGGACAGCACGGATGGGATTTGTCACATGGGGGGTCGTGAGTGGGGAGAAAAGAAACCCCAGGGTGAGGGAGCTAATTCTGGCTGCCAGGGCCTGGAGGGACCCGAGGGAAGGGAAGGGAAGGGAAGGGAAGGGAAGGGAAGGGAAGGGAAGGGAAGGGAAGGGAAGGGAAGGGAAGGGAAGGGAAGGGAAGGGAAGGGAAGGGAAGGGAAGGGAAGGGAAGGGAAGGGAAGGGAAGGGAAGGGAAGGGAAGGGAAGGGAAGGGAAGGGAAGGGAAGGGAAGGGAAGGGAAGGGAAGGGAAGGGAAGGGAAGGGAAGGGAAGGGAAGGGAAGGGAAGGGAAGGGAAGGGAAGGGAAGGGAAGGGAGGGGAAGGCTGGGTTCCCGCTGCATCGGTGCATCGGTGCCCTTGCGGGAGGCCGGGTCTCGGGACGAGTTGCATTTCTGGTGTCGAGACCGAAGTTTTGTGCCTGTCGGAGAGCAGGGACCTCCCCGGGCGCCCCCCCTCCCGCAGCCCCCTGTCTCTGTATCACTCGGGATTTCCCCACCCAGGTCACCTCAGCCCCGCAGCCCACCCCTCGCCCCCTGAACAACCCCCTGCCCCGAGCCTTTCCCACTGCTCGCCCCCAGCCCCTGCTTCCTCTGCCCCTTCTCTCCCGGGGGGAAACCGGCCCCGGGTGGCGGGTCCTGAGCGGGGGGAGCCTCCGGCGGCAGGCGTCGGGGGGACCCGGCAGGGAAGGGCACTGAGCCGGCCGGGAGAAACCTTCCGGGAAGGGGCATTGCTGGAAACGAAAAGGAGGGGAAGGAGGGGAAGGATGGGGAGGAAGGAAGGAAGGAAGGAAGGAAGGAAGGAAGGAAGGAAGGAAGGAAGGAAGGAAGGAAGGAAGGAAGGAAGGAAGGAAGGAAGGAAGGAAGGAAGGAAGGAAAGGAAGGAAGGAAGGAAGGAAGGAAGGAAGGAAGGAAGAGGAAGAAGAAGGAAGGAAGGAAGGAAGGAAGGAAGGAAGGAAGAGGAAGGAAGAAGGAAAAAAGGAAGGAAGGAAGGAAGGAAGGAAGGAAGGAAGAAGGAAGGAACTACAGCATCTCTTGACCATCTTGTTGAAGTGCTGGAAGAATTTGCTTCAGCTGGGAAGTGTCTTTTTTACAACAAAATTCGTTAGTTTGTTGTGTTTTCAGAGCAAACACATTCTTCCTTCGATGTAAGATCTTTGTGTTTGTTTCCTGATGTCTCAACACCGACCCGGGCTCTCCAGCATTGCCTGCCCCTTTTACCAGCACGGTTCCCTTACGGTTCCATCCAAAACTTGTTGGCACCTCTGTTTAAAGGCCCCCCTCCCCTGTCGATACCCCTCCGCGTTTCTTCGCGTCCCCCCTCGCCGCCTGGACCCCACACCCCAATTTCCCAGCCGGGGCCGGGCGGGGAGAAGCCGCAGCCCCTGCCCCGCTCCCGGCGCTCCCGGGGCAGCAGCGGCCGAACCGGGGGGGCTCTTGCTTTGCTCCGACCCCCCCGGCAGAGGGCCGGCAGCGGGATGCCAGGGGAGAGCCGCTGCCCCCTTTCCGCTTGCTCCCGGGCTCTCGCTGCGGGTTTTGTCGCCGTTTCCGCGGCGCTGCCACCGCCGGCCACCCGAGGGGGGGGTCGCAGCCTCCTCTGGCCGGTTCCGAAAAGTGGCAGGGAGGGAAAGTGAGGCTCGTTTTCCCGGCTCGCGGTCCCAGACAAAGGAGAAACGAGCAGCTCGTGTTTCGTTATTATTTTTTTTTTATTATTTTATTCGGAAATCTCATCCAGAAACACTGGTCCATAATAAATATATCGATAGTTATCAAGAATATATAAAAAATAAAGACACGGTGTTGTCTTTGAGGCCCTAACCGAAAACAAACGAACGAACGAACGAAATTAATAATAATAACAACATTTCAAGCAAATGCCCAGGGAAACGTACCGAAAAGGGAATAAAGAGCAGCCAAGGCGCAGGTTTAGTAACACAAGTCACCGGTCTGGCAAGAGCCGCCCCCGCATGCAAAACCAAAACGAAACACGACAACAGAAAAACAGCAAAACAGAACAAAACCGAGGACAGAAATAAGCGGCGAGGACCCCAGCCAGCTGAGCTAGCGGACCTCACTGGGGGCAGGAGATGGAGATTTGGCAAAGCAGCCCCGGAGGAGGAGGGCTGTGCTGCGTTTTGCACAATTTCCCCCTCTCCTTTTTTTTTTTTTTTTTTTTTCCTTCTCTATTATTTTTTTTCAAGCGGACACAGAGGGGAGAAGAAAAGGACCCGCAAACAAAACCCGCATCGCGCCCAAACCGCGAGGAAACTTTCCCAAATTGTCTCGGCAGCCCGCGCTGCGAGGAGCAGCGCCCGGCCGGCCGCGCAGGGCGCCGGGGGAGCCCGGCCAGAAGCATGCATGCACCCGCTGGGCTGCCTGGGCCCTTGGGAGCAGGAGGCTCCCGAGGCGGTGCCGTTCGAAAGAAAAGAAAGGAAAATCCCGCAAAAGAAGGAGAAGAAGCCCCAAACCGATCTCATCGTCTCTGCGTGGCTGCGAACACTACAGTGACAACCATGTCTTTTTTTTTTTTTTTCTTTTTTCTTTCTTTCCTTTTCCCCCATCCGTTTTAAGGACTTATTTACATCGCATCTATTCTTCTTCTTTTTCCAGCGGGGCTTGCTCGTTGTCGCTCTCATTTCGTTCCTCGTCCCAGGGCACGCCGCCGCCGGGCAGCGCCCCCGGGGGGGTCCTTGCCGCCCTCGCCCCTCGCCCCAGCCGGCTCCGGGGGGGCCCCGCGGCGTCACTTGAGCAGGTCCTTGGTGTCCCCCGAGATCCTGGCCATGCTGGAGGCGGTGAGGGCCGAGAGGTGGGGCGGGGGGGGCATCTGGCAGATGGTGCAGGGGCACGGCAAGCCCGCCCAGTGCTGGAAGCCGCTGCCGAGCTGCAGGGCGGGGGGCGTGGAGGGGGTCTTGAGCAGGGAGTGGGGGGGCCGGATGGTGCCGATGGCCGGCAGGGAGGCGGGCAGGGACGAGGAGGTGTTGGCCGAGGACAAGGCGGTGCCCAGGATGGGGTGCACCTGGTGCACGGTGCCGGCGGCGTGGGGAGGGTGCCCGGCGGAGTGTCCCACCGTGCCGCAGTGGAAGGCCGAGTGGTGCCCCCCGTAGATCTCCCCCACCAGCCTCTTCATCTCCTCCAGCGAGCTGGTGAGCATCAGGATGTAGTTTCTGGCCAGCAGGAGGGTGGCGATTTTGGAGAGTTTTCTCACGGAAGGCCCGTGGGCGTAGGGCATCACCTCCCGCAGCCCGTCCATGGCGAGGTTGAGGTCGTGCATCCTCTTCCTCTCCCGCCCGTTGATCTTCAGCCGCAGCTGCTGCAGGTCCTGCTCCGAGAGCTGCTTCTTGATTTTGTACTTGCTGCCTTCCCCGCCGGCCTTGGAGCCGGTCCTGGAGAGGCCTTCCCCGGCCATCTTCTGCACCAGGTCGTTCTGGGTGGAGGAGACCGAGTTGAGCCGGCTGTCCTGGTGGTGGTGGTGGTGGTGGTGGTGGTGGTGCTCCCTCAGGTACATCTCATCCATGTCTGGCGAGGAAGCTCTGCTGGAGACAGAGCTGGAGTCAGAATTCATTGTATTCGGGCGTCTGAGCAAGAAACTCTTCCCTGCTCCGGAGGTGGCGGAACGAGGCAAGTCCCCTCCGAAAAGCGACGAAAGAGGAACGAAAAAGGAGCGGGCGGGCGGCGGGCTGGGCGAGCAGCGGGCTCGGAGAGCTGGGGAAGGAGGAAAAAAAGCCCCCGGCCCCCTCTCGCCAGCCTCCCCCGGCCGCTCAGCCTGTTTACAGGATGGCTAGTTAGTGTGTGCTTGGACTAACCTCAGCCTGAAAAAGAGGGGCTTTTATAGCGCTGCAGCAGAGAGCAGAGACAAAAGGAGCCCTCCTATGTATAATGGTCTAGTTAGGATGACGTGCCATTATTCAGGGCGGTGCGCTTTGACTGTCCCATTTAGCAAGGACCCCTATTCATATTCATTGTGGTGCCACCCGGGACACCTCAGCCACGGACCATCGGGAGCCGAGGAGACACAAAACCCCTCTGATTGACACCGCACACTCAGCGCTCCGCGTGCCCGCCATCTCCTCCCCCTGCCCCTAATTTCCAATATAAAACCCCAGCCCGGCTACCGGGGGCTGCGGGGGGCTGCTCGGGGCCGCCCGGCCGAGCCTGGCCCCGGGCTGCAGCGGCCGGGGGCGGCCCGGGGAAGTGCCCCCGCTGCGACGGGAGGGACCGGGGCGGGGGGGACTCCCCGCTTTGTCTGCCGTGTCCCCCCCCGTCCCCCGGTCCCCCCCGTCCAGGCTCGCTCGTGGGGCGCCCGCCGGGCCGGGGGCCGCGGGAGGCGTCGCGGGGCCGTCGGGGGGGCTCGGGGCAGGCGGCGGGCGGGGGGCCGGGGGGCTGCGGGCGGCCCAAAGGCCCGAGGTGTTCGCCCCGGTGAGTAACCGGCTCCGCGCACCGGCCGGGCTCTGCTCCGGCCGGCGGTGGGACGGGGAGGGACGGGGACAGGGCCGGGCTGGCGGGGACACCTGCGGCGGGTGTCGCCGCCCTCCGCGCAGGGCACGGCCGGAGCTCGGCCACGGCCCCGGGGGGGCGGACGGGCCGTGTGCGGGGAGGGACCTGCTGCGGCCGGGGACCGGGGGGGCCGGGGGGGCTTCCCGAGCCGTCCCTCCGCCCCGGGAAGCGAGCGCCGGGCTCCTGCCTCCGGGGACGGGGCGCACCGACGCCTGCGAGAGGCCCCGGGGGGAGCCGTCGGGTGCGCGTCCACCTGCGGACAGGGGCGTAGGGCCCCCGGGAGAGCTCTCCGGCAGGATCGTGCTACTCCGTGAAGAGTTTCCAAGCGCCGGGGAGAGAGGGGAAGGGAAAAGGGGGACTCTTTTCATCCGTTTGAGTCTGACTGTGCTTAGTCTGCTGAGGAAAATTAAAGCCGTCTGATTTTCAGCGCTGTCAGTAGATCCCGCGGTGAGAAGAGGCAAGAAGAAAGGAAAGGAAAAGAAAGTGAAGGAAAGGAAAAGAGAGAAAAAAGAAAATAAAGGAAAGGAAAACTAAAGGAAATAAGAGAAAAGAAGAGAAAAGAAAGAAAGAAGAAATAGAAAAGAAAGAAGAAAGAAGAAAAAGAAGAAAAGAAAGAAAGAAAAGAAAAGAAAGAAAAGAAAAGAAAAGAAAAGAAAAGAAAAGAAAAGAAAAGAAAAAAAAAAAAAAGAAAAGGAAAAGAAAAAAGAAATATAGAAAGTTTAAAAAGAAAAAGAAAGACATAGGAAAAGGAAAAGAATGAGTTAATAAAAGAGAAAGAAAAGGAAAAAACAAGCTAATAAAAGAAAATGAAAAAATACGAAAGGAGAGAAACCCACATGAGACCACCCCCTGTTTAGGAGGGTGCACCAGACACAACCGAAACCGACTTCTCCTTATCCCGCTTCCGCCGCGAAAGCCGTAAACCCACGCGGATTTTCTCCGTCTGAGACATTTGCAGACCCCTTGGCCGGTCCCGATCCCGATCCGCCGCCCCCAGGACGCAGCCCGGCCCCGGGAGCACACCGCGACCACAGCTCCGGAACGGGGCAAACGCCGCCCCCGGGGAGCTTCGCCTCCGACCGGAGCAGAAGACGGGGAACGGGAGATGCCGTCGGGGGGTGCAACAGGAGGGTCCGGCGGGGGGCGGCAGCCCCCTTTACACACTCTTTACGGGACGGGGCGGCGGGGGTTTTGGGAGAGAACCTCGGAGCTGGGGGGATCTCGGGTTAGCAAAACTTTCCCCGACAGCCGCGGCAACGAAATTAACTGGGGATTGGGAAAATCGTTTCCAGAAGCGGGGCGCAGCAGAAGGGCGAAAATGGTAGCTAAATCGAAGTAACATTCACCCATCCGTCCTTTTAATTCCTGGTTTCCCAAAGGCGGAGAGCAGTGGCAAGGGAGGGGAGCGTGCTCGCCGGGGAAAGGCGAAGTTCTCCGGGGTGCGCGGCCCCTCGGGTGCGGGAACATCGCCGCTCCCCGCCGCCCGCAGCGGGTCCGAGACTCGGGTTGGGTTTTTAGGGGTGTCCCCGAAGGGAAGCCGCGAGTTTTCGGATGCAGTCTCTCGGACGATAATTCACGGATTTGCTTTTCGGTGCCTGGTTTTGAATTCTCGGAGTTTCGGCAAACGGGACGTACTTTTCCCGTGCGCTGCGTTTCGGTGAAGGAATAGCAGCACATCGTGCTTCCCTTCGCTCTGCCGACCTGGCCGGCCACTCGGATTTGGGTTCATAACGCGAGGACCGGTTAAATCAGTGTTACGTATTTTTCTTTTCTAGAAGTCTGTTAGGTTTTACTGGCTTTCGCTCTCTCCGTTTGCTTGTAATTTAATTTGGACATTTTGACAACTGTGCTTTAGCATAAAACAGTTACGGGTGTTAGCGTTGTGATAAGGTCGTTGTTGATTCTGTTTAGGAAAGAAACGCGGGTCGCTGCTTTCTGCTCCGAGGACCAGAAAGCTCCCAGCCAGCTGCCTGTGAGGCAAGCGCTGCGATGGACGGGCTGTACTGTGCTGCACTGCGGGCTGCAGCCTAAATTTGGTCGCGTTTCTGAACAGCATTCCTTTTATTTAAGGCAAGACACGAACCGCACGCTGCTTTTTGCTCAAAATGTGTTGCTGGATTGCATTTAGATTGAGAGTGTAATTCAGATTGATAGTACCTCGTCGTCTGACGCTTTGTTCCTCCAAGAGAACGGGATAAAATACTATTTTAACTCTTGTGTTCATCACGAATTTGTTTTGCAGAAGTCGGGCATTGCGAGGGCACTATCAAATTGCCGTACAACTGGAAAGGGATCGGAAGGCTGCCCGAGAATTTGATGACTGTAGTCAAATTCTCCAGGCAGATAAGTCTGGAAATAATACTCCGCTGTCTGGACACGGGAAATTTTCTTCCCCATTCATGTATTTTCAAACCTGTTGGCAACTTTTTTATTAAGTCCGAAAATGGAAATCTTTCTCAGATCGAAGTAGCCTACAGATGACAACAGGATCGGGCCCATCCTCGATACTGCTCCTGAGGAGCAAACCTTAAATAACTGATGGGCATTTCAGCTAATTAAGGATGACATTTTGCTTTCCGCATTTAAATACCGATTTGCAAAACTTCTTGAAAAAATACGGCATTAAAATTTAGTAATAAAATTTAAAATGCCAGAGACTAATTACTCAGAGACGTGTTAATTGCTAATCCTCTGATATATGACATTTGCTATCAAAAGCCTGAAATTTGTTTCTGTAAACAATAAAAACACTTAATCAACAGTTTGCATTTCATTCTTTTATTTTGCCTGTAGCAAATTCACCTGAAACATATATTTTATTTCAAGAAAATTTTATAGAAAATCAGTTTGAATGATTCTAAAGCTTTCAGATGGGCCATGGTATTTATTAGTCAACTGTGAAATGTTTTGCTGTCCTTGGAATTTAAGAAGAAAAAGAAAAAAAAAAAAGAAAAAAAAGAGAGAGAGAGAGATTATTTTTGAATACGCAGCCATTAAATAGTTTGGTTTAGGTGTCTGGTACAATTTGCACGACCTCCAAAATATCGCAAGCATCCATCAGTCACAGGGCTAAGACTGCGATGCACAGTTCACATATGTGGAGCTAAGACTGTGGCACACACTTTGCATATGCAGAATGGGCTAAATCTGGCATTCCTGACAAACAAACTCTTCACATTGGACCAAAGCGGGCTTGTTACTGCGATATATAATAGGATAATAATGTTGCTCAAAGGACTGCATTTATTTTCTCTTCTGCCTTTATGTTCTAGGCCCATATTCCTACTTAAAATATTAACACTCTAAAATAGGCAAATTTCTTTGTCTTTCTTTCCTGCCGTTCACATCACTTACAGTCGTCCGCACTCCCGTCCCTATGAACTCTCTCTGTCAGCTTACACTTGTTACAAAAATTAACCCACTGGCTTTTAATAACCCTCTCCCTCATTGCTTTAGCAGCCAGCAGACAGTTACTGAGTTAGTCCTGAAGTCATATAGAGTATTTAAATATCAGCTATAAGCAAAGTAGAAGACAGACAGAGAGTACATGAGAGGTCGTCCCCCCCCAGTCCTCCCCATTAGAAACCCCAGATGCACTGCTTTTTGGTTAGCTTCTCAACAGATTAAAGTTATCTTAGGCCAGAGTGAGAATGCTAGTGATACAAAGCCTAAAGATTGAAATGTTTTGCTGTCTCAGACACAAATAACTATAATAAAATTCATTTTTAATAGCTCTAGTGAAAACAAATAAAGCCATAGAAATTATTGAATATCTCTTCCACTAGACATTAGAGAGCATGGATGACTCATTAAAGAGAAAGAAAAAAATCCTTGTCTCATTTTGTATCTCAATTTTAAACAATGCATGTCTCGAGTGAATATTTACGGGTTGTTAATAGGCTAGTACAAATTCTAGAAGACACAACAAAAATTATCTGCAGCCTATTCACAAACCTTTGCCATGTCTCAGTGTTTGGGGATGGGCGTAGGGGCTGCCTTCACCACTCTTGAATAGGACTCTATTGTGTGGGCTTGTTCCATCGGGATCAATGGGACGACATGTGCAATGAGATGCTAATGAACACCAGAAAGGATGGTAAAATCTGGCCGGCTAAGGCTAAAGCGTAAGGCTGTTTTTATAAATCAATTCTGAGTCTCTTGCTACACTGCTTTTAGCTAAACTGTTGAAACTTTAACTATTCAGGGAGGCTTTAATATACAAAATAAGTTTTTTGCATCATTTAAATCACATTTTCTTTCCCTTAAAATTTGAATCACTCTTGATTCTCATCTCCTTCGAAGTTGTAGTTGAGATGAGGCAGTCCTGTTTTTCATGGCAATTGCACTGTTAATGTAAATGCCTTTCCACAAATGGAAAATAAAATACACCAGAGGAAAATAACGTCAAGCACAACTACAAAACAGAAGAATGATGGTCAGAAAGCACACACAGAGGCAAGGACAGTGTTAGCAGTGGGTAACCCTATGGTCATTGCCCCACCACACCTGAAGGAAAAAATAGTCTTCTGAAATGTTTGTTCCTCACTCAAAGGGGACAGAAGTCCTAGGACAGCTTCAGAGAAGTCCTTAAGGACCAACATGACCCCAGGGGACATTGCGCTCCATGAATGCACATGGCTGCAGGAGCCTTGTGGTCTGCATGGTCCATTGGGTCCCTTTCTTGGTCCTGCAGCCCTCCAGCCAGGTCAGGACATATGGGCAGAATGAGCCATTCCACCGGAAAACCTACAAGCCTGCAGATGCTGCATGGGGAACCTGGTGCTTGCAGCAGGCTCTGAAGTGCCCAGACACAATAGTAATGGGGACTGTAAAAGTCCCATCCCTGTCTCTTGAAAGACAGAGAGAGGAAGAGGAGAGTAGGTCTACTGATGCCACCTTTTCTCATCAGCTTATGGCAAGGGTTAATTATTAACTGTTGAAACACGGATGAACTGTGGTATTTGTTTGCTTATTATGAGGCTTGTCAGGGCCAGAACCAAACCTTGCTGAAGCTGACTGATGTCCTTCTGTTTCAATAGACTCAGAGGTCAGGCCCCAAAAATCCAAGTCACCAGTGCAGCTCCTTGCAATAAAGAACCAGTGAATACTGTAAGGGAGGGCTTAGTTACTCCAGCGACATGTTTCAGTTGGGGGCAGGCCCTTCCATGTTTGTTTTCTGAGAAGAAACTTGATTAGTAAAACGTTATATCAGGTTGGTAAGGGACTCCATGCTTCAAGAGGAGGACACAAACCTCCTCTTCTGCAGCCATTTCACCTGTTAACCATTTGTACCAGAACCAAAGACGACTGTCCAGCAGCAGCAGCTTCGTGTATCTGGCCTGAAGCCATTATTTCTTTTTCTTTGTCAGACACTTCCTTGCAGGGATGCATAGATGGGTCCCCAGTGAGCCCCTGCCTTTTGGAATTCAGTGGCTTGAGATACTGTCAGCAACTTTAATTTTGAGTGGAAATACATGGGAAATGAATGATTCCTGTGAGGAATAATCTCCTGGAGGAGATTAGTGCTGCTGAGCCCTCCACCTGTACATAGGAAATGCTGCTGGC